GGCTCCCCTGCCCCACAGCCCCTCCCCGCCTGGGCCAAGGGGGGCAGAGCAGCCCCGCCCCACGGCAGGACCCCTGCATCCCGGGCTCCCCTGCCCCACAGCCCCCTCCCCGCCTGGGCCAAGGGGGCAGAGCAGCCCCCGCCCCACGGCAGGACCCCCTGCATCCCGGGCTCCCCCTGACCCACAGCCCCCTCCCCGCCTGGGCCAAGGGGGCAGGGCCTCCAGCTGAGCAGCCCCGCCCCACGGCAGGACCCCTGCATCCCGGGCTCCCCTGCCCCACAGCCCCCTCCCCGCCTGGGCCAAGGGGGGCAGAGCAGCCCCGCCCCACGGCAGGACCCCTGCATCCCGGGCTCCCCCTGACCCACAGCCCCCTCCCCGCCTGGGCCAAGGGGGCAGAGCAGCCCCCGCCCCACGGCAGGACCCCCTGCATCCCGGGCTCCCCCTGCCCCACAGCCCCTCCCCGCCTGGGCCAAGGGGGCAGAGGCCTCCAGCTGAGCAGCCCCGCCCCACGGCAGGACCCCCTGCATCCCGGGCTCCCCCTGACCCACAGCCCCCTCCCCGCCTGGGCCAAGGGGGCAGAGCAGCCCCGCCCCACGGCAGGACCCCTGCATCCCGGGCTCCCCTGCCCCACAGCCCCTCCCCGCCTGGGCCAAGGGGGGCAGAGCAGCCCCCGCCCCACGTCAGGACCCCTGCATCCCGGGCTCCCCTGCCCCACAGCCCCCTCCCCGCCTGGGCCAAGGGGGCAGAGCAGCCCCGCCCCACGGCAGGACCCCCTGCATCCCGGGCTCCCCTGACCCACAGCCCCTCCCCGCCTGGGCCAAGGGGGGCAGAGCAGCCCCGCCCCACGGCAGGACCCCCTGCATCCCGGGCTCCCCCTGACCCACAGCCCCCTCCCCGCCTGGGCCAAGGGGGGGGCAGAGCAGCCCCCGCCCCACGGCAGGACCCCCTGCATCCCGGGCTCCCCCTGCCCCACAGCCCCCTCCCCGCCTGGGCCAAGGGGGGGCAGAGCAGCCCCCGCCCCACGGCAGGACCCCTGCATCCCGGGCTCCCCTGCCCCACAGCCCCCTCCCCGCCTGGGCCAAGGGGGGCAGAGGCCTCAGCTGAGCAGCCCCGCCCCACGGCAGGACCCCTGCATCCCGGGCTCCCCCTGCCCCACAGCCCCCGCCCCCCCTGGGCCAAGGGGGGGGCAGAGCAGCCCCCGCCCCACGGCAGGACCCCCTGCATCCCGGGCTCCCCCTGCCCCACAGCCCCCTCCCCGCCTGGGCCAAGGGGGGGGCAGAGCAGCCCCCGCCCCACGGCAGGACCCCCTGCATCCCGGGCTCCCCCTGACCCACAGCCCCCTCCCCGCCTGGGCCAAGGGGGGGCAGAGGCCTCCAGCTGAGCAGCCCCCGCCCCACGGCAGGACCCCCGGCATCCCCGGCTCCCCAGACCCACAGCCCCTCCCCGCCTGGGCCAAGGGGGGCAGAGCAGCCCCGCCCCACGGCAGGACCCCCTGCATCCCGGGCTCCCCTGCCCCACAGCCCCTCCCCGCCTGGGCCAAGGGGGCAGAGCAGCCCCCGCCCCACGGCAGGACCCCTGCATCCCGGGCTCCCCCTGCCCCACAGCCCCCTCCCCGCCTGGGCCAAGGGGGCAGAGCAGCCCCGCCCCACGGCAGGACCCCTGCATCCCGGGCTCCCCTGCCCCACAGCCCCTCCCCGCCTGGGCCAAGGGGGGGGCAGAGCAGCCCCCGCCCCACGGCAGGACCCCCTGCATCCCGGGCTCCCCCTGACCCACAGGCCCCTCCCCGCCTGGGCCAAGGGGGGCAGAGCAGCCCCCGCCCCACGGCAGGACCCCCTGCATCCCGGGCTCCCCCTGCCCCACAGCCCCCTCCCCGCCTGGGCCAAGGGGGCAGAGCAGCCCCGCCCCACGGCAGGACCCCTGCATCCCGGGCTCCCCTGACCCACAGCCCCTCCCCGCCTGGGCCAAGGGGGCAGAGCAGCCCCGCCCCACGGCAGGACCCCCTGCATCCCGGGCTCCCCCTGCCCCACAGCCCCCACCCCGCCTGGGCCACGGGGGGCAGGGCAGGCCCCCCCCCACGGCAGGACCCCCTGCATCCCGGGCTCCCCCTGCCCCACAGCCCCCTCCCCGCCTGGGCCACGGGGGGGCAGAGGCCTCCAGCTGAGCAGCCCCCGCCCCACGGCAGGACCCCCTGCATCCCGGGCTCCCCCTGCCCCACAGCCCCCTCCCCGCCTGGGCCAAGGGGGGGGCAGAGGCCTCCAGCTGAGCAGCCCCCGCCCCCCCGCAGGACCCCTGCATCCCGGGCTCCCTGACCCACCGCCCCCTCCCGGCCTGGGCCACGGGGGGTCAGAGCCGCCCCCGCCCCACGTCAGGACCCCCATCTGCCCGGTCTCCCACGACCCACAGCCCCCTCCCCGCCTGGGCCAAGGGGGGGCAGAGGCCTCGAGCTGAGCGGCCCCCGCCCCACGGCAGGACCCCCTGCATCCCAGGCTCCCCCTGACCCACAGCCCCCTCCCCGCCTGGGCCAAGGGGGGGCAGAGCAGCCCCCGCCCCACGGCAGGACCCCCTGCATCCCGGGCTCCCCTGCCCCACAGCCCCCTCCCCGCCTGGGCCAAGGGGGCAGAGCAGCCCCGCCCCACGGCAGGACCCCCTGCATCCCGGGCTCCCCCTGCCCCACAGCCCCCTCCCCGCCTGGGCCTAGGGGGGACTGAGGCCTCCAGCTGAGCAGCCCCCGCCCCACGGCAGGACCCCCTGCATCCCGGGCTCCCCCTGCCCCACAGCCCCCTCCCCGCCTGGGCCAAGGGGGGACAGAGGCCTCCAGCTGAGCAGCCCCCGCCCCACGGCAGGACCCCCTGCATCCCGGGCTCCCCCTGACCCACAGCCCCCTCCCCGCCTGAGCCAAGGGGGGGCAGAGCAGCCCCCGCCCCACGGCAGGACCCCTGCATCCCGGGCTCCCCTGCCCCACAGCCCCTCCCCGCCTGGGCCAAGGGGGCAGAGGCCTCCAGCTGAGCAGCCCCGCCCCACGGCAGGACCCCCTGCATCCCGGGCTCCCCCTGCCCCACAGCCCCTCCCCGCCTGGGCCAAGGGGGCAGAGCAGCCCCCGCCCCACGGCAGGACCCCCTGCATCCCGGGCTCCCCCTGCCCCACAGCCCCCTCCCCGCCTGGGCCAAGGGGGGGCAGAGCAGCCCCGCCCCACGGCAGGACCCCCTGCATCCCGGGCTCCCCCTGCCCCACAGCCCCCTCCCCGCCTGGGCCAAGGGGGGGCAGAGGCCTCCAGCTGAGCAGCCCCCGCCCCACGGCAGGACCCCCTGCATCCCGGGCTCCCCCTGACCCACAGCCCCCTCCCCGCCTGGGCCAAGGGGGGGCAGAGCAGCCCCCGCCCCACGGCAGGACCCCTGCATCCCGGGCTCCCCTGCCCCACAGCCCCCTCCCCGCCTGGGCCAAGGGGGGCAGAGCAGCCCCCGCCCCACGGCAGGACCCCTGCATCCCGGGCTCCCCTGACCCACAGCCCCTCCCCGCCTGGGCCAAGGGGGGCAGAGCAGCCCCGCCCCACGGCAGGACCCCCTGCATCCCGGGCTCCCCCTGCCCCACAGCCCCCTCCCCGCCTGGGCCAAGGGGGCAGAGCAGCCCCCGCCCCACGGCAGGACCCCTGCATCCCGGGCTCCCCTGCCCCACAGCCCCTCCCCGCCTGGGCCAAGGGGGGCAGAGCAGCCCCCGCCCCACGGCAGGACCCCTGCATCCCGGGCTCCCCTGCCCCACAGCCCCCTCCCCGCCGGCGCCACGGTGGCAGAGCAGCCCCCGCCCCACGGCAGGACCCCCTGCATCCCGGGCTCCCCCTGCCCCACAGCCCCCTCCCCGCCTGGGCCAAGGGGGGGGCAGAGGCCACCAGCGGAGCCGCCCCCCCCCCACGGCAGGACCCCTGCATCCCGGGCTCCCCTGACCCACAGCCCCTCCCCTGCCTGGGCCAAGGGGGCAGAGCAGCCCCGCCCCACGGCAGGACCCCTGCATCCCGGGCTCCCCTGCCCCACAGCCCTCCCCTGCCTGGGCCAAGGGGGCAGAGCAGCCCCCGCCACTCGGCACGACCACCTGAATCCCGTGCTCCCCCTGACCCACAGCCCCCGCCCCTCCTGGGCCAAGGGGGGGGCAGAGCAGCCCCCGCCCCACGGCAGGACCCCCTGCATCCCGGGCTCCCCCGGACCCACAGCCCCCTCCCCGCCTGGGCCAAGGGGGGGCAGAGGCCTCCAGCTGAGCAGCCCCCGCCCCACGGCAGGACCCCCTGCATCCCGGGCTCCCCCCCCCCCAGTTCTCACTTGCTGCGCTTCTTTTCCGGCCCCCGCTTTCCGCCCGGCCCCCCAGGGCTTCTCTGCCCCCCTCCTTCCCCCCCTGCAGCCCCCCAGGAAAGAGGGGGAGACTCACCGGAGGAGACAAGAGGGGCCCTCCGGAAGACCCGCCCCCTCCCTTCCTGTCCTCTCTAGGAGGGCGGCGCAGCTGCTCTTAACCCTTGGCCCGCCGGGGCGCCCAGCTGGTCTCCTTCGGGGGGAGCCTGGGGGCCGGAGGAGGAGAAAGGGGAGCCCCTGCCCCCCCCCCGGGATGGGCAGGGAAAAGGCAGGCGGGGGGCCGGGAGGGGGGCCTGGAGGGGGGCCTGGAGGGCTCAAGTCAGGCAGGGCCAGAGCTGTCAAGGGAGCAGCAGCCTCCCCTGTCCGGGGACAGTCTAGGGGAGATCGAACAATCCGGGGTACCAGTGGGAAGCAGCGCTGGAATAAGGGAACTTCCCCCCCAAAAAGGGAAGGTTGACAGCTATGGATCCTGCGCCCACAGTGGCACCCAGGCGCCCCAAGCAGGAGGAGAGCGCCTTGTGCCCTCTAAGGTAGACTGGCTCTGGCCCTGGAGGCTCCATGCAGGACTCCTCAGAAACCAGGAAGAGCCCTGGGGCAGGGGCCTCGCGCCAAAGGGACCTATCCGGCCCAGGATCCTGCGCCCACAGTGGCACCCAGGCAGGAGGAGAGCGCCTTTTGCCCTCTAAGGTAGACTGGCTCTGTCCATGGAGGCTCCATGCAGGAAGAGCCCTGAGGCAGGTGCCTCGCGCCAAAGGGACCCATCCGGCCCAGGATCCTGCGCCCACAGTGGCACCCAGGCGCCCCAAGCAGGAGGAGAGCGCCTTTTGCCCTCTAAGGTAGACTGGCTCTGGCCCTGGAGGCTCCATGCAGGACTCCTCAGAAACCAGGAAGAGCCCTGGGGCAGCTGCATCACGTCAAGGGGGACCCATCCGGCCCAGGATCCTGCGCCCACAGTGCCACCCAGGCAGGAGGAGAGCGCCTTGTGCCCTCTAAGGTAGACTGGCTCTGTCCATGGAGGCTCCATGCAGGAAGAGCTCTGAGGAAGGTGCATCGCGCCAAAGGGGACCCATCCGGCCCAGGATCCTGCCATAGCTGTCAACTTTCAGATTTGAAAAGAAGGGATCAGCAGCCTCCCCCGTCCCAGGGACAGTCTATGGGAGATCTAACAATCCGGGGTACCAGTGGGAAACGGCGCTGGAATAAGGGAACTTCCCCCCAAAAAAGGGAAGGTTGCCAACTATGGATCCTGCGCCCACAGTGGCCCCCAAGCAGGAGGAGAGCGCCTTTTGCCCTCTAAGGTAGACTGGCTCTGGCCAGGGAGGCTCCATGCAGGAAGAGCTCTGAGGAAGGTGCATCGCGCCAAAGGGACCCATCCGGCCCAGGATCCTGCGCCCACAGTGCCACCCAGGCGCCCCAAGCAGGAGGAGAGCGCCTTGTGCCCTCTAAGGTAGACTGGCTCTGTCCATGGAGGCTCCATGCAGGAAGAGCTCTGAGGAAGGTGCATCGCGCCAAAGGGACCCATCCGGCCCAGGATCCTGCCATAGCTGTCAACTTTCAGATTTGAAAAGAAGGGATCAGCAGCCTCCCCTGTCCCAGGGACAGTCTATGGGAGATCTAACAATCTGGGATCGCAGCGGGAAGCAGCGCTGGAATAAGGGAACTTCCCCCCCAAAAAGGGAAGGTTGCCAGCTATGGATCCTGCGCCCACAGTGCCACCCAGGCATCCCCAAGCAGGAGGAGAGCGCCTTGTGCCCTCTAAGGTAGACTGGCTCTGGCCCTGGAGGCTCCATGCAGGAAAAGCTCTGAGGAAGGTGCATCGCGCCAAAGGGACCCATCCGGCCCAGGATCCTGCGCCCACAGTGCCACCCAGGCAAGCAGGAGGAGAGCGCCTTGTGCCCTCTAAGGTAGACTGGCTCTGGCCCTGGAGGCTCCATGCAGGACTCCTCAGAAACCAGGAAGAGCCCTGGGGCAGCTGCATCGCGCCAAAGGGACCCATCCGGCCCAGGATCCTGCCATAGCTGTCAACTTTCAGATTTGAAAATAAGGGATCAGCAGCCTCCCCTGTCCCAGGGACACTCTATGGGAGATCTAACAATCCGGGGTACCAGTGGGAAACGGCGCTGGAATAAGGGAATTTCCCCCCAAAAAAGGGAAGGTCGTGGGGCGCAGGGGGTTCTGTGGTCTATAAGCCACTGAGACTTGGGCTGCCCAGCGGAAGGTCTGTGGTTCCAGTCCCCATGACTGAGCTCCCTTGCTCTGTCCCAGCTCCTGCCAACCTAGCAGTTCCAAAGCACACCAGCGCAAGTAGAGAAATAGGTACCCTGTGGTGTTTCTGTGCGCTCTGGCACTTCTCACGGTGTCCATTTGGACCAGAAGCGGTTCAGTCCTGCTGCCCATATGACCCGGAAAGCTGTCTGTGGACCAACCTGGGCTCCCTCAGCCTGAAGCGAGATGAGCTCTGCGCCCCAGTCGCCTTTGACGGGACCTGACCGTCCAGGGGTCCTTGCCTCACCCAGCAGAGGAAGGGAAGGTCCACGTGTTGGACTGAGCAGGAAAAGGGGGGCTGCCTTGGCCTCCCCTTCCCCTTTAGAGCAAGCGCCTCTGGGGCGCAAGAGGGGGGTGCTGGGTCCGCTACTGCCGCTCTCGCTGCCCCTCTCCAACTTCAGCAGGAGCTGTTTATCCAGAGGGGGAAACAATCCTGGGAGGAGACATTTCATTTCTTTATTAAATTTATATACCGCCCTATGCCTGCAGGCTTTCAGGGCAATTCACAAAATAAAACCAGGATATAAAACTGCAGAATATTCAAAATAAAAACAACCACCACCCAATAAACCCACCCCCCAAACACATTTTAAAAGGCCATAGGATGTCAATCAAATCAACCAAAGGCCTGGTTAAAAAGGAACATTTTTGCCCGGCGCCTAAAGGTGTATATCGAAGGCGCTTGGGGGAACTTCCCTGGGGAGAGCATTCTTCACGTGGGGAGCCACTGCAGAGAAGGCCCCGTTCCTGTGCTGCCACCCTCCGGACCTCTCAGGGAGGAGGGACACAAAGAAGGGCCTCAGGTGATCTCAGGGTCCTGTAGGTTCTTATGGAGAGAGGCGGTCCTTGAGGAATTGTGGTCCCGAGCTGTTTAAAGCTTAATAGGTCAAAACCAGCACACTGAATGGGCAGCCAGTGCTGTCGGACCAGGATTGGTGCAATATGTTCAAACCGTCTTGCTCCGGTGAGCAACCTGGCCGCTGAATTCTGCACCAGCTGAAGTTTCCGAACAGTCTTCCGAGGCAGCCCAACGTGTAACGCATTGCAGTAATCTAACCTTGAGGTTAAATCAATGACTTTGGTTATAATATACAATTATTATAATGGGAAAAGTTATGGAATGAGGATTTGAAGTTGATGGCTTGCTGTTCTGTTGAAAAGAACCTATATGAAAATGATGTACTGTTGGTACCTAACACAGAGTAAAATTGCACAAATGTATAGAACCAGCTCAAATTTGTGCTGGAAATGTAAAAGGAAAGAAGGTACCTGTAATGGATTTAGGGGTTGCTCGTGCGTAAGTTGCCGCCACTGCTGGCGAGGTTACCTGGTTTAACCCTTTCTGACTGAACAGCCTCCAGCATCGTGACTGTCTCAGTTGCTGGCAGAATCCGTCAGTGGGCGTTTCTTGAACTTCTTCCAGCACAAAAGTTCTTTGACGCCCAGTCTCCTCCTACTCTCCCTGCGCGGAAGTCTTCTGCACAGGGAGGGTGTGGGCAGTGGAGGACCCGTACTCTCTCCGCTGGTCTCCGGCGAGGAGTCTTGGAGCCTCCTCTCCGATTCCCCCCATCTGCCCCCCTTCTCCACTGGTGTTACGCTGATTTCCTTCCCCAGCGGACGGGCTGCCTCTCTCCCTACTGGGACCCTCTCCGCCATCCCTCTGGAGCCTTCCCTCCGCCTCTAGCTCCGATGGCAGTTCCCTGACAGTACCTTTTATCATATGTGGTGGTCCTGTGGAGTGCTAAAAGCGTTCTGGGAAATGATATACACTGAGTTGAAGAAAGGGTTTAAGAGGCTTTTCTGTTAGGTATAATATGTGATGAATTACCAGAGAAAATAAGAGACTGTTTATGGATGCAATGACGGCAGAATGTTTTTGGCCCAGAGATGGAAAGAAGGTGAAGTACCGACTAAAGAAGAGCGGCAGACCAAACTGATGGAATGCGCAGAAATGGCGAGACTAAGGGGAAAGATCAGAAACCAGGAAGAACAAGTATTTTTAAAAGACTGGAATAATTTTATTGTTTACTTGAAAGACCACTGTAGACAGTTAAAATCACGGGCAGGGATACAAGGACACTTGTAATGTGAACTCAACTTTGGTTACTATGATTACATAATACAGTGGTACCTCGGGTTAAGTACTTAATTCGCTCCGGAGGTCCGTTCTTAACCTGAAGCTAAACCTTTAGCTAATGGGGCCTCCTGCTGCCGCCTCGCTGCCGGAGCACGATTTCTGTTCTCATCCTGAAGCAAAGTTCTTAACCCAAGATACGATTTCTGGGTTAACGGAGTCTGTAACCTGAAGCGTATGTAACCTGAAGCATATGTAACCCGAGGTACCACTGTAGATGGGTAATGGTAAAAGATGCAGGAAAAAAGGAAAAGGTAGAATCTTTAGAACTGGAACCCATGGCAGGGAGGTCTGAAGGTCTGAACCTTGATATTTTTTATGTTTTGGAAAGGTTAAAGTTATCGTGTATTTAATTTTTTTTAAAAAAATTTAAGAGCAGGTGATCTCCCAGCCATCTGGTCTAGGGCACCACCCACTAACTGCCTCAGTCCTATCTGGATTGAGTTTCAGTTTGACATTGAGTTTCAGACATCCACTCCACCTTCCTCCCAGGGAAAGCAAAAGAGCAGAGACTGCTAAACTACTAAAAACGCTGAAAAACGGAGGGACACATTCCATGCTGGATGTCATCAGACGGTTGACTCATGTTCAGCTTCTGGTCCAGTAAGACCATTGTTGTTGTTGTTTAGTTGTTTAGTCGTGTCCGCCTCCTTGTGACCCCCTGGACCAGAGCACGCCAGGCCCTCCTGTCTTCCACTGCCTCCCTGTTTGGTCAAACTCATGCTGGTAGCTTTGAGAACACTGTCCCACCATCTCGTCTGGGAAACTTGGGAGAAAGTGATCATGTCCTCCCCTGAGACAGAGGGAAACGCAAGCTGAGTGTAGTCAGGAATTCACTTTAAGGCGGCCAATTTAAAAAGGCTTAAGGAGATACTGGGTGAGATCCTATGTTCTGAAATGCTAAAAGAAATGGGAGCTTCTTCAAGGTGAAATATTGAAGACCCAAATGCAGGCAGTCCCAACCGGAAAGAAAAGTGAGAGGCATCTAAGGAAAACAGTGTGGCTGCATAAGGAAAGTGATGCCCAGCCTAGTAATCAAAGAATAAATGATGTAAGGAGGGAGCTGCAGTCCAGGATCGGAAAAGAGGGAGTAACTGGACACCTGGCTTCTTCAAATGAATTCAGATCTCCAGGACCTGATGAGCTGCATCCAAGGTACTGAAGGAGCTTGGGGATGTAATCTCAGAGCCTTCATCTAGAGCTCTGAGGATTCCTGGAGAACAGGAGAGGCTCCTGCAGACTGGAGGGGGGAAATGTTGTCCCCATCTTCAAAAACAGGAAAAAAACTACTGACCGGTGAGCTTGAGATTGATACCAGGCAACCAGGGAAGGTCCTAGAACAGATCATTAAACCGTCAGTCTGTGAGGACTGAGAAAAGGATGCTGTGATTACTAAGACCCAGCAGGGATTTCTCGAAAACAAGTCATGCCAGACCAATCTGGCAGCTCCCAGATGATTGGCTGGGCTCCCTTTATTAATGGCATTTCTACCCCTCCTCACTGAGTCCCCACAACAATGGGGCTCCGTTCAAGGTGCTGACATGAGGGGTTCACTTGGACCCCAATCTCTGAAGAGCCTCTGGAGCAGAGCCCACTCATTATCGTTCCCCACCAAATTTCTACCGTTTGCCACAGGCTGTCGGGGGGGGCGGGTCTTGTCTGAGGGAAAACCTAGTGATTTGCAGTCTGAAGCAGGAGTTGGTCAAACCAGAAAAGCTTTTTTTTTTAACACAAAAAGTTGGTGAAAGCAAGTTGGGTCAGGAGAGGCATTCTTTCAGGTAGAAGTTAAGTTAATATTCAACTAAACGGAAAGATGTCACAGGCCTAAACACAGTAGTACAGGCACAGCGTCTCTCCAAATCGGTTCTTCCACTTGAGGGAGATGTTGAGGGGGGGCCAAAGAGGGGGCCAAATGCTTCCCGGTGATACGGAAGGGGGGGGGGCATGTCTTCTTCTTCACCTTCTTCGCTACAATATATCCATTTATTTCCAATTGCCAATGTCAAAAGGGACTAAAATCTATAAAATTCATAGAAAATCAACTTGCCAATTTGCTCAATTTCTCTAGGACTCCATGACACCTCCCCTGCCCTCCATAATCCCTCAAGCAAGGTGTCAAGACCCTAATCCTGTCAAATCGCTCTGCCAAGCCCTTCCTCCGGGCGATGCCAGGTGACAGACTATGCATACATGGACCATTGTCTTCTCAGGATGTGCTTATCTGCGCATATCTCCAGCTCTGCATATTCCCCCCTCCCTCCTCCATATGTTAATCCGGTGTAACCCAACCTCTTCCTAATGTATTCGTGATGTAATCTGTGTAACCCAACCTCTTCTTAATGTATTCATGATGTAACTGGGATGTATTTTGCACTGTATTCTGGGACATGGAGGGAAATTTCAAAAGTTCATGTCACCCCTTTCTCGCTGTTCAATCTCGTCTTGAACCTGTTGCGCAATAAACTTGGATCTCCTGGAACTTGCTCCCGTCTCCGGCTGAGCTCATTTTCTTCCGCAGGGACCCGCGGACTCAGTCCGACGAGCTGGGTGGCAGAGTAACCCCGCACCCAGATTTTACCGTAACAGTTGGCGCCCCAACGTGGGGCTTGCGGTTCTCCCGAGCTGCTGACCGGGGGCCCCAAAATCTTCAGCCGGCTCCGGGCCATTTTGCCTGGGAAGATCCTTTTGGACCCCGGCCATCTTCCGGGCGGTAATCGAAAGCCCTAGGAGTTCAGCCGGGGAGCAAAGAGGGATCCAGCCGGCTTATTCATCGATCCCGGGATCATCGTAGAAGACACGTGAGTATAAGGAAAAGAAAATCCAGTGCACTGGTGGGAAGGGTGGAAGTCTCCTGGCAACTGAATTCTCTGCCCTCCTCTCTATCGTTCCTTCTCACCTTTCTCTTGGTCCGGTTAGTGAGAGAGACCGTGGACCACCGCTCGACCCGAAAGGGGGGTTCTGAGCTCTATCTCTTTCCTAAACCCTCCAGCCAGCCGCACCAATTGGGAGCCCGAAAGTAAGACGGAGAGAGCCGACTTGAAAAATAGCCGACCCTCCGCAACGGGCATCCCAGTTGAAAGCAAGGGGTTGGAGTTCTCTTTCCGAGCTTCCCGAGCGTCCTTCCTAGGAGGCAGGAAGTGGTCTGGCTTTCTGTATCAATCCCAGCCGCACTGGTCGGTGCCACGTAACACGTGTATCGTGCGTGAGCCCGCTTCCAAAAGCAAGGGGGATTTTCGGTTCGAAACTCTATCCAGGGATCACCCGATCTGGCACCGCACGGCACGGGCGTTCAGTAGGGCCCCTTTTCCTGAGATTGTGACGATAGGTAGGAGGTTGCCAGGAGGGATAGCCCATGAGGAATTGGGCGGGATTTGGCAGAGTGGAAAGGAACCCCAAGATTTGGAATAGGAAATAAGGAAAGGAATAAAGGGAAACCGGATAGTTAGAGCTCACTAAAACCACTAGGAAGTTGCCAAGCAACAAGAGATAGAAAAACCCTAAATAGCCCCCTGTACAAGTTAACCAAATCCCAATCAACCCCTCTCTTTCTCCCTTCTCTATCCCAGACACCCCCCCAAAAAAAGAAAAAACAACAAAAAGCAACAACAGCAACGCATGCATATATAAAGGGGTACCCAGTCAACCAAGCGTTGTGAGCCCTGCCAGTTTGATTAACTGGTGGTGTGTTCGAAGAGGCAAGGAGGCTCATAAAACCATGTTGGACCTTCCTACTAATTTCACTTAATGAAGCCAAAGGTAGCGGCCCAACTCCTTGCAATAACCAACTAAAGGATGAGAATATATATGTTTACATGTTGTCTGTTATGTGTGTTGTCTGTTAATACATATGAGAATATGTATGTTTACATGTCGTCTGTTATGTGTGTTGTCTGTTCCTTCTGTCTCTGACAGACTGCCTTTCTTAAGTGCACATAGTTTAAACTGCAAGCTTGCTTCAAAATTTTAAATCTAAGGAAGCCAGGCTGGACCTTGTCAATCCTAAATAAGACAAAAATGAGAATGAAGTGTGCAAATGTTTACCCCACCTCTTGCTTTGCCGCAACCTTTGAGATTGTGAGTCTACAGTCTATTTTGGAATGTGAAGTTAACCTAATGTTTCTGCTGCAAAAGCGTAGTTGAGCACAACTGCTCTCTCAAGCTAAAATGCAGTGTCTGTATTTCATTAAGCACATGCCTATGAAAATAGGTGTTCCTTCTAAGAAAATTGTTAATAAAAGGTAGAAGCTTCGATAGACAACAATTCTCTATCTATAGAGTCCAGTCCTGATATCAGTCTCTAAGATCAGCCAGGGTTTCCTGGCTTTTTATTAGAAAATGCCTTCCCCACTTGTTTCAGTCTCTTTCAGGTCCCCCCCCCCTTCTTACTTCCGTGCCGAGTGAATTTACTCCCGAGTAAGCTTCCTTCAACAAGGGAGGGGGGCACATTCTTTGCTAAAAGTACCCGACATCTCACTTTCCTATGTATCGTTATTCCTATGCGAGTTCAGAAACATTATTAACTTTTGTATCCCTTTTAAATCAAATCCAGGACTGTTTTTATTATTTGTGAGTGGTTATATCAACTGAAATAACTCTATGCTTATAGAATATTCTCTCCCAGATTCTCTTCCTATCTTATCTTAGGAAAACTGTTCTTCCTTTAAGATCATTTCTCTAGGAACTTGCACTCATTAGTCTAAGGAAGTAAACTCTCACTCAAACTATCTCAAGATCTGCTAAAAGGGTTCTGTGTAAAGTTGGGTACTTTTATTTTCCTCTTCCTTAGTACATGATAGGAGCATAGGTGTTTCCTTTCGCAGTTGTAAATCTGTACTTAAATGTGTATGTCTCTTTGGTAGTACAAATCTTGCTGTGAAATCTTGCTGTGAACCCTATATTTTGGAGGGTTGGACTAGATGACCCCAGGGTCCCTTTCAACTCTCCCAATTTGTGGCCGTGTGGAAGGACATGTGTCTGCAAACATTGGAGGGTAATTGTTAAATTCTGGTGTGGTGATGGAGTTGAAATTCAGCCTAGCTTTGCTCTTTAGTTTTAAAAGGTGTGAGGTGAAGCCTTGATGTTTTGAAGCACAACTGGTAATATCAAGCATTTGAGTGATTACAGTGTTTATCATTTTGTCTACTATTTAAAAATCAGACTTCAAAGTCAATTCAAAGTTTCAGCACATACAAATACATATGCGCCTTGACCAATAAATGACTGAGAATGTTAAAAAATCCTATGAATTCTGACTCTCTGGCCATTTTTTCCCATATATAAGGGCGTGGCATTGTTCCGCGAATGGCCAGAGGGATATTAGCCCTTTCCTGTACATAAAGGAAGCAGTCCCTTTGCTTGGGCTGCAATTGCTAGCTTTGGTGAATACTTGAATCGCTGAGTTTCTCTTTTTTGTTTTAAAATCTAACCCTATTTTTAAAATCTACTCCTTACCCTTCCCTTCCCTTATTCAAATGGTAATTTAGCCAAAAGATTCAACATTTTCAATAGTATAAAAGGTTTGCTGAGACATGAACTCTGCACATGCACAGAGGCTAGATCAGCTAAACAAAAAAAAAGGGGGGAGGAAAGAGAGAGAGAGAGAGGAAGGAGGGGAACTGTAAGGGGGGAGAGGAGGTTTCGAGAGCTTGGGCTGCAGGGAGAAACTTATCCAAATTTCCTTATGTAAAACTTGGAACCATTGAGGGAATTCACCCTTAATGTGTCCTTTGCTCCAGGGGCTACATAAGACAAAGGGTTAAGTACTAGCCCATCAAAAGTCAAGAGGTTTCCAGGTTTCAAATCTTAACATGCCAAATTCTTTTCACAGGTAAATATCAAAGCGCTCCCACTGTGAGTTCCACTCTTGACTAGTTCTCCCACCCCCAATGGGATTTAGCTTTTATAACAGGCTTTGTGTGCATTATAGGAACAGCATTCCTGACAGAGATTTTCAAAGGAAATAAAAAATTTCCCTTTAAAACAGGATACGTGAACTCGGACCCACATAAGCAAAATGTTTAATAATTTGCCAATTGTGTTCAAATTAACAAAGGTTTTATCCCTTCGTTTCTTCCACAGCCAAACTAAGTGAAGGAAATTAAATGTAAATGATTATAATATTTAAATGGATAAAATGCCTAACTATGAGTTTGTATTTACAGCCTCCCAAGAAGAAAATTTTAGAATATTCTCTCCTTTCTTGACTATTATCTTCCTCCTTAAAAAAAAAAAGAAAAGAAAGATCAACAACAACAACAACAACTAATTATGTCTTCAGATCTCAAATCCCCCTGCAGGCCTATTTCCAAAGGATGCTTTGCGGGAGACCAAAATATTAAGACCATCTCCTCACCAGCTAAGCAGCCTGCCAATGCATCACAGTAGCCACAACAATTTCTTCCCATAAAAGACTTGAGAAACTGACTAATTTAATTTTGAAGGAAATGCCCTTGTGCCCAAGTTTGGAAATACATGTAAAAGCAGCAAGAATTGTCTCAAGATCACATTATTGCCTCAAGATATGGTGTAGAATTAATAATTTGTACGTTTTGTGTATTATGTGTTATTATGTAGGAATGCTGAAATGTGTCTGATAATGTGTTATCTCCACAAAGGGGGGGCAAAAATTTCTGTGTGTAATTGTTTCTGTATAATGTAGGATACATAACTATGAACAACAGAAGGATATGGCTTACACCCCAAGGTTTTTGTTTTTTTCATGGAGGATTCTCATATATTACATGCTTTCCGATAGAGCAGGCTATATTTAGATTAAGTCAACTGATGATCATATTTCCTTGTCCCACCTGGCACTCTGCAGAGTGCCAACCTTCCTTACCCATTTATTTATGTATTTAATGTTTTTCTATACATGAAGTTCCCAGACTTTTTACTATTTCTTTCTTTCTGTTCCAGAAAACTATTTCAAATCTCTTCTATGACTTCTCTGTATCACTTGCAGATTCAGTACTGTCTTTAAGTAGCAATTGTTCTGTATTTATTTATTTATTAATCTTGGTTTTCCCGTATAGCTGTGAAATTAATCTAACCACAACCAAGTATTATTATTGGAACCATATTTACAGGTAGCTTTGAAGCAACGCTCTTTATTATTATTTGAGATGTTTTGATTAAAATGCCAAATGAAAATGGGTGTAGATCATGTCCCAAATTTTATTTATTTATTTGAGGACACGACTACCATATGTAGAATAAGGTTCCTTCACTTTCCTTACATCTCCAACATATTATTATTATTATTATTGATAACAAGAAACGTGTATATGCCTTGATGTAGCAGGAATGGTCCCTTATAGAGTTAAATTGACTCATTTGGACAAATGCCCTTTTAAAGAATGGTTTTGGTTTAACATACTGGTTTTGAAAAGTTGAGAACCATGGGGCAAGATAAATTCAAATTGGACTCTGCTGGAATTGGGCACGTGTATCCAGGCTGCAACTAGCTTTTGGTCCTTTAAGAGCAAGTGAGCAACTTTCCATGAGTGCAAGACCAGAGCCTGCAATAATAAAACCCCATAGAAAGGCCAAGGCAAAGACATCTCTCTCATGATATGCCCAAGCCTGTGCCAGCTATGGTGAGTGCCAGGCGACATGGTTAAATGAAAGCCCTGAGGGGATTCAACAGGATGTGTTACTGTACCACTATGCCGGTGTGAGACCACAGAAGAGCTAGCTTGGCACCTGAAAACACAAAACGGTGGGGCTAAAAAGCAAACTGCATTTTTTTTCAGTCAGTAGTGGACCTTCCTGCTAAATGTAAAGCATACACCACTATTGAAAATGTTTCTCCCAAGAGCTAGAATGCCACAAGTAATTTAGTAACAAAATACAACAGGTGTTCTTTTTATGTAATTTCCTATATCCAGCTATCTGCACTGCTATACTTGCAAATGACCGTAAGAGGCATGGCTTGCAAGTCCCCTTCAGGTTTGCATAAACCCACGCATCTGGTACGGTAGATACCAAGTTATTATTTAGCGCATATCTATATAACACGCGCGTACATTGTATTCGTACATTGTATTCGTCGGTGTTGTTCCCTCTTTTGCTACCCTGCTCAACCCACCTCCTTTTCCATTAGAGCCTATTCCCACTCACAGGGCACCCCTACATTCACCGAGATTTAGGGTGCGGAGAAAAGATTTGCAAGTTCTTACAGAACTTTAATGCAAATCTATCTCCGAATGGGGGACTGATACGGAAGGGGGGCATGTCTTCTTCTTCACCTTCTTCGCTACAATATATCCATTTATTTCCAATTGCCAATGTCAAAAGGGACTAAAATCTATAAAATTCATAGAAAATCAACTTGCCAATTTGCTCAATTTCTCTAGGACTCCATGACACCTCCCCTGCCCTCCATAATCCCTCAAGCAAGGTGTCAAGACCCTAATCCTGTCAAATCGCTCTGCCAAGCCCTTCCTCCGGGCGATGCCAGGTGACAGACTATGCATACATGGACCATTGTCTTCTCAGGATGTGCTTATCTGCGCATATCTCCAGCTCTGCATATTCCCCCCTCCCTCCTCCATATGTTAATCCGGTGTAACCCAACCTCTTCCTAATGTATTCGTGATGTAATCTGTGTAACCCAACCTCTTCTTAATGTATTCATGATGTAACTGGGATGTATTTTGCACTGTATTCTGGGACATGGAGGGAAATTTCAAAAGTTCATGTCACCCCTTTCTCGCGGTTCAATCTCGTCTTGAACCTGTTGCGCAATAAACTTGGATCTCCTGGAACTTGCTCCCGTCTCCGGCTGAGCTCATTTTCTTCCGCAGGGACCCGCGGACTCAGTCCGACGAGCTGGGTGGCAGAGTAACCCCGCACCCAGATTTTACCGTAACACCGGCGTTGCTGCTCCTTTCCCTAGTAATGAAGGGGAACAGTTAGGGTTACTCCAAAAAGCCCTAAAACTGTCTGTGAATCCCCCCCCCCCCAGCCAGGCCTCAAAAGCCTCGCCTCTAGCATTTAAAAAACTGCATTATCCTCTAAGACAAAAAGCCTTAGCTAAGCATTCCGCTTGCTGGAACTGAAAAAGCTTGCAACCAGGTAGAGAACAGAGTCCCTTGTCTTCTCAGGCCTTTCTCAGAGCCTTTGGCCTTGCTAAAGAACCACCTTGCAACTTGCTTTCTGTCCGGGAACCATGCCAGAGCACCAGAATGAAACAACTGGAACACACTGAAACCCTCTCACCCCCTTTCTGGGAAAAGTCCAAAAATGGTCCCAAGACAGGAGCTTTCTGTTCATGCTCAGAGGAACTCATGGGCAGGACTCTTGAAGAAGGATGAGAAAAGAGAAAAGTCCTAAAACCCTAAACGCACTTCCTCGCGAGCAAGCGCAGCTGGCATAGGAGGCTAGGAGGGGCCCGATCCTCTCCTCCTCCTCCTCCTCCTCCTCCTCCGTTGCCATGCCCAAGGTGGTGTCCTGCTCCGTGGTTTGCTCCGACACCCGCGACCGGGAGGAGTACGACGACGGCGAGAAGCCCCTGCACGTCTATTACTGCCTGTGCGGGCAGATGGTGCTGGTCCTGGATTGTCAGCTGGAGAAGCTGCCCATGAGACCTCGAGACAGGGCCCGGGTGATTGATGCGGCCAAACACGCCCACAAATTCTGCAACACTGAAGAGGAGGAAAACGTTTATCTCCGCAGGCCAGAGGGCATTGAACGGCAGTACAGAAAGAAGTGTGGAAAGTGTGGACTTCTTCTCTTCTACCAGCACCAGCAGAAGAACGCCCCAGTAACATTCATTGTTGATGGTGCTGTGGTCAAATTTGGACAGGGCTTTGGAAAAACGAACATCTACACCCAGAAGCAAGAGCCACCCAAGAAGGTGATGATGACCAAACGGACGAAAGACATGGGCAAATTCAGTTCGGTCACAGTCTCCACCATTGATGAAGAGGAGGAGGAGATTGAAGCGCGAGAAATTGCTGATTCGTATGCACAGAACGCCAAAGTGATTGAGAAGCAGCTGGAGCGGAAGGGCATGAGCAAGAGAAGGCTGCAGGAGCTGGCTGAGCTGGAAGCAAAGAAGGCCAAAATGAAAGGGACTCTTATTGATAACCAGTTCAAATAAGGAGCATCGATATAGAGGACTAGCCAAGAAATGTCATTTAGGAACCAGGGACAGGGGAAAACACAATACCCCTTCATCCTTTTTTAATCTGCCCTATGAAATCACTAATTTTCTTCGTTGATTCTACCATGGAAGATGGAACTGCTCCATTGTTTTTATGGATTTTGCATTTTATTCCGCACTGCACACCATGTTTTTAATGTATTCGGAAACTTTTTGAGTTATACTTCCATTGAATTTTACTTCCATTGAATTTTACTTCCATTGAATTTTACTTCCATTGAATTATACTTCTTCCACTGCAGAGCTGAGAGGTATTAGTTTGCCTCTGTTGTGCAGTGTTTTTAAATTTTTATAATCTTCATTGTACGTAGAAATTTTACATATTGTAAGCATTGTGTTGCCGAGGCAGAAACAATGTGTACAGAGAAATAAACCCCTAACAAGTTAAAAAAAAAAAAAAAAAGAAGGATGAGAAAAGGGGAGGGAACTGGAAGGGGATATAAACTATGTGCAATGGCTGTGAACTTTGTGCAGGTTTTGTGACTTATCACACTTGCTCCTCTGCCCACCCGGGTTGGCAGAATAAAAACTCTTTCTCTGGATTTAACCCCTTGGTGTCGTTTGGCTCCTTTTCGTCCCGGCTCGGGTGCAACATTTTCCTACTGTGATAGGAATTTTATGGTTTTAGATATATGGTTTTAGATATATGGCAACGTTCATAACCACACGTACATAGATCAGCACAGGAAAGCCAACCTGGAACCATTTTGATTCCTAAACTGAGCAAAAGTTTCTCTGCATGGTAAAAATGGAAAAGCCTGTTGGGATACTGCCAGGGAGATAAAGTCCAAGCCGTCTGCCAGGGAGATAAAGTCCAAGCCGTCTGCCGGACGATCCATCGACCTCCTGTAGGCACGCAGCGACATGAGTTTCTAGAAAATATCTTGCCACATTCTAGAGCTCATGCACACTCTATCAGCAGATAGTCACAGCAAAAGTTGCACCCAGGAGAGCATTATTTACAAGTTTTATTCTGCGTTGATCAGAACAAAGAAAGACATGACTGCTCTGCGTCAGTGTCTCCAGACACAGAGAGAAAATGAAAGCAACAGAAAACATAAACATCCTGTGAACAGGAAATACGCAGACTCTGTGACTCACAGCCTGCTCCCTTTTAAGGTGGAACGGAAATATCCTAACATCCTCCCCCTGTCCGTGTAACCTGTAGTACCTGTGGTTCAACCCAATTGCAACCTTTGTACGTAAACCTTAAATTGTTCTCTGTTAACAACCTTAGACAACAGATCAGCAGGAATTTCATTTCCTGGCATGTAGGACACCTGAATGAGTCCTTTCTGAATACACTCTCTTGCACGATGTAGCTTAATCTGCAAGTACTTGGTCCTTTGCTTGCAACTCTCCGAGTTCAGCAAAGCCAAACACGATCTATTGTCTTGATACACTTGTACAGGACATTTCACAGAAACTCCGATGTCCTTAAACAGTTGCATCAACCATTCACAATCCATGAGTGAAAATGACAGAGCATTGAGTTCTGCTTCACAGGAACTTAGGCTCACTGTCGTCTGCTTCTTGCACAGCCAGTCAAACAGACAGTGGTTGTACATGTAGCATACACCAGAAGTGCTTGTACCATCCGTGGTGTCACTTCCAAAACTTGCATCTGCAAAGATTTCAAGACCTCCAGTCTTCTGACTGGTGAACCTCAGCCTGTAGTGCAAAGTCCCTTTCAAATAGCGGGCTATGCGCTTCAGAGCTTTCCAATCCTGAACAGTAGGATTGTTGGCATGTCTGCTAAGCAGGTTACAGCTTACAGCTATGTCAGGTCTTGAGCATCTAGCAATGAAATTCAACTTGCCTAGAATGCACCTGTACAGCGCAGTGTCAGAAAATGCTTCAGCAGTACTGTCTACCTGGTAACCTGTCACCATCGGTGTGTCTGCTGGGTTTGCATCAACCAAATTCAACCTGGTTAATACATCAGCAATTTTCTGTGTTTGGTGTACCAGAAAATTACCTGCTTGGTCCCTCTCCACCTGCAGAGAAAGATAGTTGGATACCTCACCAAGATCCTTCATGTCAAAGTGCTCCTTCAGCTGAGCTAGGGTGCTTTGGTAGAAAGCCTGATTCTTCCAAAACATCAGAAGATCATCAACAAAACATAAACAATACAGTTTGTTTTGCCCCTCCTCCTTGACAAACACACACGGATCAGCTTTGCCCTGGTGAAAACCTAGAGAAAGCAATGTCTCAGTGAGTTTTGTGTTCCAACACCTGGCACTCTGCTTGAGACCATACAAGGATTTCCGCAGTTTACAGACCATTCCCTTCTGTATCTGCATCCCATCAGGTGGAAGCATAAACAGCTCCTCCCCCAGAATCCCGTACAAAAAAGCTGTATTAATGTCATGATGGGTGTCAGAGCTGCTTCCAGATCCTAGCTCACAGAGGATCACGCTAGCCAGCGATCATTAAACAAAAGTCTTTATTGAGTTACAGTTTCCATTCTCAAACTGCTGCGTGCAACTCTACGTCTCATGGTTAGACCGGCGAAGCTCCGTCTGAGTCTCCGCCCCTTGTACACCAACTTAATATCCTAGCCCTGCTCCACCTTTTCCGCCTGACTGTTCTTCTCTGGGTCCCTCTGCCACCTGGGGTCTCTTCTTTCCGGGAGTCCTCTTTCGCTGACGCTGTCGCTTAGACCCTTGACTCTTCTCCCTCCTTTCGGCGGGCTTTAGGACCTGGCTCCCTTTCCGGGCTGCCTACTGTGCCACCTTCCTGTGCATTTGAACTTGCGCGCGCGCCCAACCTTCCACCTTCCGTCTGACCGTTTCTTCGCTCCCCGATGGAGGTGTGGCCACTCCTGACTCGTGCCCTCCCCCCTGTTGTGAGCTGCCAGCGCTTGATCCCTGGCTCCCTTCCTCTTCCCTGCTCTCTGGCGGTGACGCTGGTCCCGATTTCCAACTGCTCCCCTCTGAGTCCCCTCTGGCTCTATCTTCCTGGGGCGTCCCCTAGGCTCCCCCTTGCCCTGGCCACTGGTGCTCCTTTCTGTGAATCTTCTGATTCACTGGAAAGACTCGGAGATCTCGGGTCGTCGTCATCACTCATCTTTTCTTCTGCCTCCTCCCCTCGCTCTCTGTTTCCTCCCTTGCCCTTGCCTCTGCTCCTGAACCCCTGACATCCATCCCCCTCGAAGCCCCCTCTTCCCCTCCCCTCCTTCCGGTGCGGGATCTGGGTGCTGCCGTGTCAGGGGACGAATGTCGGATACAGTTCGCTTCCCGTGGCGGGCCGCCATCTGAAGTCTTCCGGTTCTTCCTCCCTGCTCTCGTTGACGACGGTCACCTCCGCTTCCATCTCTGTGCCGCCGTGCTCGAAACCCGGGTCGTCCCCGAAAACGTCCATGTCCGTCTCTCCGTCGTTACCTTCTGGAGACGTTGCGCGTCCTGGACCCTCCAGCCCCCGTCGGCGGACGGGCTCCTCTGGGCGATCGTCCCACCCCGTCGAGGGGTCTGAAGCAGAGCCCGAGGGGGACCCCTCCGGGGAACGGGCGTCTCGTGTCGGTTCCTCGTCCGAGTCGAACCCCCGGAACGTGCTGGCTGAAAGCGTGGGCGTGAAAAGCCAGTCGTCGAAAAAGTCTGCTGGCATTGGCCTATGTGGGAAGAGGGCATGAAACTCTTCTTTGAGCAGAGGTTCGTCTAAAGCGTAGCCCGGCACCCAGCTGTTGGCACTGGCCGGGGTGCCCTCCTTGGCGAGAAGGTATTCTACCCCCTCTTCCCCCCTATCTGGAGTCCAAAATCTCCGTGGCTTCGTTGATGCGCTCCTCCCGTGCCACTCCCCCCTGCCCGGTTCTCTCTCGGAGCGGACCCGGTGCCGTTCCTGGTTCCTGAAACCTGTGAGGTGCCTTGTATGGAGTGAGCACCGATCTGTGGAACACCGGATGCATCCTGGAACCCTCCGGAAGAGCCAGCCTGAAAGCCACCGGGTTGACCTGTTCTTCGACTTGGTAGGGCCCCAGTTGTTTATGCCCTAGTTTCTTCTTCGCCAACGACCTGGCCGGCACTGCGTGGGCTGCTAACCAGACCCAGTCTCCCACATGGATCTCTTCGCCAACCCTTCTGTGTTTGTCCGCTTGTACCTTGTATGCGTGTTTAGCCAGCTCCAGGTGCCGCCGCAGCTGATCGTGAACCTCCTGCAACTCCGACGCGAATGCATCTGCTGTCTGCGGCTCCCCCCTCCCCCATTCTTTCCAGTCCCGGGAAGGTTCTGGGGTGCCTCCCGTTGTTGGCGAAGAACGGCGTGACCCCCGTGGACACGTGCTTCGTGTTGTTGTAGGCGAACTCGGCGAGAGGCAGGTAATCCACCCACGTCGCAGGCTGTTGATTCGCATAACATCTCAGGTACTGCTGCATGATGGCATTGACTCCGCTCCGCTTGCCCATTGGTCTGCGGGTGTCTAGCCGACGCCAGGTTGATCTTGACGTTCAGGAAGCCCATCAGCCTCTGCCAGAAGTTCGAGATGAACTGTCGCCCTCGGTCGGACAGAATAGACCGCGGCAGACCGTGAACCTTGAACACGTGGTCTATGAACAGTTTGGCGGTTTGTTCCGCCGTGGCCACCTTCGCACACGGAATGAAATGTGCCATCTTGGAGAACAAGTCCACCACCACCAGCACAGCCGTCTTGCCCCTCGAGCTGGGCAGATCCGTGACAAAGTCCAGGGCCACTCTCTCCCATGGTTCGAACGGAGTTTGCAGCGGTTCCAGCAATCCGGCCGGCGGTCTGTGCACTGGTTTGGCCCTCTGGCAGGTGTCACACCTCGCCACGTAGTCCGCGACTTCCCTCTCATTCCTGGCCACCAGAAGTCTCTGGCTACTAATTCCACCGTCTTCTCCTTGCCAAAGTGCCCGGCAGTGGGCGCGTCGTGCAGCTGCTGCAGTACCTTGGCGCGAAGTTCGTCTCCCGGCACGTAGATGGCCCCTTTACGGATGAGCAAACCATCTCGCAGCTGGAACTCGTCGGTCGCTGC